ATTTACTTTTAAAAAAGATAATTTAGACATTTATAATGTATTTTTAGAAAATCAATAAATTCCAATCATTTTTTTAATCCTTGTGAAACGAGCAAATATTGCTATTAAAGCAGAACGAATTGAGTACAATTTTGGTCAAAGATTATTGTAAAATAAATTATATTATCAAATTTATTTCACCTCTAGACAAAATTTTTAAAAATATAAATTCATTTATAAGCATATTATTGTGTTTGGATTTAATTATATAGTATATGTTTTTACTAATTTATACTCATATATATGATTCTTAAGTTTAGAATTAAATATTAAATTTTATTAAGTATAACCAATTTCATAAAATTAAAAATATAAAATTCTAAATGAATTTCATTTATATAAACGCAAAAATGTGAATATATACATAAATTTTTTGTGAAATTCATTTTTATAACCAAATCAGCACCACGTATTTGATGAATATTATTATATATATTGGTTTACATCCATACCCACAACTTTGGGTTAAAAAAATAAATATTTAAAATTTTCATTATGAAAGACAAAAAAGATGAACTATAGGATAAAATAATCTAAATTTATTATAAAAGAAAAAAAAAAGCTTTTATCATTATAAAAAATAAAAGTACATAATGGTACCTCAAAAAAGAACAACTAACAATTAAAAAGTGGTCAAAGTTATGAACTGAGTTAGGGTTTTACTTTCTAAGAGAAAATTGGTTGAAGTTCCATAAATTTACATCTACTACTCAATTTTAGTTGACATAAATAATTTATTAAATATTTATATTGGAATTCTACCCAAGAAATTAACAATTAATTAATGAATAATGATGATGGTAGGTGGAAACTCCTATATTGACTTTATCTTAGTTTGCTTTCTTGGTTTTGAAGTGGATGTTACTGCCATGAGACAAAACGGGGTACAAGAATTTTTTTTTTTTAAAGAAAAATCATAGACTCGTATCAAATATCATAAAGGATAAGAAGCATTACGGAATAGAATTTCACACTTTAAAACAAGCATGATAATAGAAAATCCGAGTTAGAGAATGAGCTCCTATGTTAACTTTTCTTTTACACCGTATAACTGTAATATTAGCCCTAGACAATAACAAAGTCTTACAATCATTAAGACAATATTTGTTAGCTCATCTGATAATTTTAATCTTGAACAAGTTAGAACCTTAAGATGTTGGAAGGCAATTTGCTTGACCAAGTATCATGGAGCTCGATTTTATAAAATGTTTTATAGCATTAAACGTGAGTTTGTTATAACTAAGCAACATAATTATTATTTGTTGATTTGGCAAGTGCGAGCCCCGTTACCCATGACCTGGGGGAAGCGCTAGGACAACTATTTTAGGAGCCAAATGAAATTTTTTTAGACTTTTAGGGGCCAAGTGCCTTTTTCATATATTTTGAAGAATTAAAATATAAAATCCTTTTTTTAATTGGCCCCCTTAGTCTCAGTGGAGTTTCGCCCCTGTCCATGACCTTTATTATATAATTAAGACACTCTACCGTCAAGCCACTTGTGACATTTATTCTTTGGAAGGCGTGTGCACGTGTGTAAGTGCATGTACACACATATATGTTAAGCTTAACTAAATAAATTTCTAAATTATAATAAATAAAATAAAAATATTGTTAAATAAATATATAAAATTGTATTCATATAAAAATTATGGTAAACAAGTATATTGTAGTAAGTACTTTAATAATTATTATTTTGACATAGTTAATTATGTAACTTTTAATATATAAATACTTTTATTATTTATCATATAACGTTTATGAAGAATAATAATTTTTATATACATTAAATAGATGACATTATATTTTAGACTTATATGCGACATATATTATAAAAAAATAAGTATTCCTTCCATTTCATTTATTTGGACAAACTTTTCATTTAGGGTGTCCCATTTATTTAGACAAAGTTGTTATTACAGTAAAAAAATGATGGTACAAAGTCCATATTGCCCTTTATCACGCTTTCAATATTTGAAAATATCAAGACAGTGGCATACAAAATATAGAAAATGCATTTAATGAGGCTACATTTATAAGGCAATTGTTTTATTTATTTCTCTCTCCACTTTAATTAAAAATGTACGAAAAAAATCAATTTATGAGCGTAATTTTAGTTCATTCTTATAATTCTCTTACAACAACAATGCACATCTTAAAAGACTATGCACATTCCAAATTCTAAATCAACCATTTTCAGTTTTAACTCAAACTTAGAAATTGAAAATCATACCTCTCCAAAATACGCCTCCTCCAACTAAAACCCTGCCACTGCTTTCTAAATACTTTTTTTTTTTTCGATTATAAATGACATCAAAAAGTAAGAAGTCTGACTTAACATGAAAGACAAAGTATATGGCGACAGATTCAAAGCCATCTTCTTCCCAAGTCTTATATCCTAGGAAAAAATCATCAAAAGGTAAAGGTAAGCTGCCCTCTACCAGTTTCGCTGAGAAGAAAAAATGTGGAGGCAAAGAAAAGAAAAAGAGTGCATTCATAACCCTCTTTTGCTCCAAATAAAAGCTCTTCAAGAAAAAAAAAATCCCTCCACTATTCATAAAAACCTCATTGCCTCCAAAAACCCCCTACATTAAAAAAAAAAACAAAGAAAAGAAAAATTATCGAAAAGCAAGTGGAATCCACTGAAGAAGAAGATGGAAAAGCAAGTGGAATCCACTGAAGAAGAAGATGAATCCACTAAAGAAGAAGAAGAAGAATCTAAAGCAAAATCATAAAACGAAAAAAGTAGTGAAAATGTGTAAGTTGATAAAAACAATGCTCATGTTGTGAAAAAAAAAAAAAAAAAAGGGATAAAGATGAAAATCCTTAAAAAAAAAAAAAAAAAAAGGGATAAAGATGAAAATCCTGCAAATGTTGATAAAATGCATATATGCACTGAAGCTAGTGCGCACCTTTTACTCATCTATGTAAATCTAGAAAATACGAAATGCGTACAACTTAATATAAAATGCATATATGCACTGAAGAGGATTGAAACAAACATATAATAAAATATCCGCAGACACAATGTATTTTATTTGCACGATTTGCTTCGATCATTGTCTTATTTTAAACTTTTTAATCTTAAATTATTACTTTTGAGTTTTAGTCATTCATTGACTTTAGTGGGAGAAAAGAGCATGACATTATGACTTTAAGTGAAAATGGGAGTAATAAATGTAATCTTGATGGTAAATTTGAAAAAATTTTCTTCCCTTAATTCATGTGTGCAAACCAATTTTTGTCCGAATAAATGAAATAGAGGGAGTATACGTTAAGAATTGAAATAACTATTATAATACCTATAATTAACTATTTTATAATTATAATATTTAATATTATTATAAAACACACAAAACAATTAGTAATAATATTAAAATTAAACATGAATAATAACTAATATCATCATTATATTTAGTGTCTCTATCTATATAGTAACTAATACTGTAATGATATTTATAATAATCACTTTCATTCTAATTTTATTATAATTATAAATATTCTAATTATAACTACTACTATAATCATAATATTATAATCACATATAATATTTTACTAGTATTAATAATTATCGTTTTTTCTTTATAGTTATGACTAATAGTATCATTAGAATTATTTCACTTTCTATTATAAATCATATCTAGTATTATAATAATCAATAAATCGGTATTAAAAATAATTTAATTATTCCAATGAATTATATATATATACATAAAGATTATAATAATAACTATTTTTTAATACTTAAATTATTGTATAATTAGAGTATAGTATTCTAATAGACTCATAGTATTGTAAATATAATTATTTTAATTATAATTAGAAGTCTAATAAATTACTTGTAATTAGCTAGACTCATGATGTGCCAAAATCATTTACCGCAAAAATTATATATATCCTTAATTTTAGCACTTTACTCAATTAAATAAGAATGCCTAATTAATGATTAAAGAAATCTTGAATTGTGAACGTTTTTAATAATTTTTACCAATTCTTTTAAATTTTTCAATCAATATAGTGTAAATTTTTAAATCTCATCCCAATTTTTAAATCTCATCCCTCCATCTTTCTTATTCTGATAAATACAATCCCACAATAACTGATGAATGTTATTTCTATCCTAACCCTTCTTGCTCACCAATAGGCATTCATGATTTTTAAAACTCATCACAAGTAGATTCAGGCAATAAGATGAGCAATAAAACAGCAAAGCCTGCACAATAGACTTAAGTAACACCTTCCTTCCGGCTATAAAAAGAATTTTATTGTTCCAATTATTAATACGATTTCGGAGTCTGTCTTTAATGTAATTAAAAATTTACTTCTTATTACGACCTATTAAAAAAGGGAGACCAAGATAATTACTCCCACATAACAGAATAAAAACTCCTAAATTATCAGAATTAAATTCTACATATTTTCAGGCGCGTTAGGGCTAAACATAATATCCGAATTCTGAAAATTAACCATTTCCCCAGAAGCCGTCTCATAAATCGAAGAATCTCTTTCACCCTACGGGTCTCTCTCTCACTAGCCTTGAAGAAAAAAATCGAGGCATAAGGAAATTTATTAAATCCTATCTTTGCTAGCATATATACCTTCCAGACACTCCCAGTTGACCTAAACAAAACATAGTTGTTCATCTATAATTATTTATGTTTTCTATTTAAATTTTTTTTACAAATAAATTTTTAAATAGAAAACAAATTTTACAAAACTAAAACTCGTTGTTTATAGAATTTTCAAACCCATTCTTCTATTCTCTATTATCTATATTCTTCTCCTATTTTTTCTCTATTATTCAAAGTAAAATATAGCTAATTACTTTATTCTCGGCTAAAATTTATTAATGATTTTGTTGTAAGTTGTTAATAAATACTTTGTTTTTCTCCAAAATCTGCGGAAAACAGATACAGTAAATAATTGTATGAAATAAAAATGAAAAATAAAAACAAAAAACTTATAATAATAAGCAGCCCAGAAAAACTCATCAACAGTATCTCTTCTCTCTATATATAAACCAATCTTTGTACACCTATTACCTTCATACAACATCTGATATACAGTTATCTTCTTATTAACTATGGAATTCTTTCTCACACCCTCAATACTCATAACTAGTTTTATTATTTCGTCTCTTGCTTTCATTTTCTTTACGTTTAAACACCAATTACCTGGTAGTAATCATAACCTTCCTCCAGGAAGCATGGGGTGGCCAATAATGGGTGAAACACTTGAGTTCTTGTTTGGGAAGCCAGAAACTTTTGTCTTTAAAAGAATGGAGAAATATTCTCGAGAAATATTCAAGACTAAGATCCTTGGAGAGAAAACAGCAGTCATATGTGGCCCTAATGGACACAAATTTCTCTTCTCAAATGAACAAAAGCTATTCAAAGTATTCCGTCCTCATTCAATGCAAAAGCTTTTCCGTTCACATCAGTCAAGTAATATGCCGCCGGCCACAAGTGAACAGGAGACAAAATTACTCCGGTCACCGGCTTTTTTAAAACCGGAGGCATTAGTAAGATACTTGGGGAAAATGGATTCTGTCACACAACAACAGATGCAAAATGATTGGGAAGGAAAAGATTCCGTCATGGTTAATCCTCTTGCAAAGACACTCACTTTGTCTCTGGCTTGTCGATTCTTTTTAGGAATTGACGATCCAGATCGCATATCAAGACTTGTTGGTTACTTTGATGATATAACAGTAGGTTTGCATTCTGTTACTGTAAATTTTCCTGGAACTATTTTCTACAGAGCTAAAAAAGCTGTCTCTGCAATTCGCAAGGAGTTGGTAAGTGTTGTTAAAGAGAAAAGAGTTGCGATTTCGATATCAGGAGCTCCGTCGCAAGATATTCTTTCCCACATGATTGTTGCTACTGATCTTTCTAGTAAATGTATGGCAGAGATTGAAATTGCAGATAAAATTATGGGTCTATTGACTGCTGGTTATAGTACTGTAGCTACGGCTATAACTTTCTTCATGAAATATGTTGGTGAGAGACATGATATCTACAGCAAGATTCTTGATGGTAAACTTTCTTTCTTATTATATTTTTATTCTTCGTCTTTGACTACAACTATTTTAAGGGATGACATTAAAAATTTTCAGAAATTTAAATGGCAAATTTTAAAAAAAAAAATTAATAAAGGGGCTGTTATATAATTTTTCACTCAGAGAATAGCTTCCGTATTGATAATAAAATTACTCTAATTATAACATGGAGGTTACGAATCTGCAAAATAAGGAAATACTACGTACATCGACTCTTTCTAGAGCTAAATATCAAATGTTTCTCAAATTGAAGCGCCTTTTGTACAATTTTTTATCTAAATCCTAGGAGATTGACATATACTAAGTCTATTTTGTGCTAGAAATTCAAATTTTTACTATAGGAAAAATCATTAGAGTTTACCAGGATAATTATGTTGCTCACATTTAAAAATTGAAACAGAGCAAATGGAGGTGGCTTCAGCTAAAAAAGCAGGGGAGTTGTTGCAATGGGAAGACATACAAAAAATGAAATACTCATGGAATGTGGTGAATGAAGTAATGAGGCTTACACCTCCACTTCAAGGAACTTTTAGAGAGGCCATAACTGACTTTACATATGCTGGTTATACTATTCCAAAAGGGTGGAAGGTAAATGTCACATCCTTTCATCATATTAAATTGAAAATGTTGCTTTATTTCTTGGACTTTATTAAAATTATTAAAGGATGTATAGCCATAGAAACTCATATCATAGATGAAAATCTAAAAATAATTTTAATTTTCTTAACATTGTTTAAATATAAATGCTGCAGATATATTGGACAGTAAGTACGACAAACAAGAATCCAGAGTATTTCCCCAATCCAGAGAAATTTGATCCATCAAGATTTGAAGATAATAAATCAATTCCTCCATACACATTTATACCCTTTGGAGGAGGACCCAGAATGTGCCCTGGAAAAGAGTATGCTAGATTGGCAATTTTAACTTTCATTCATAATGTAACGAAGAGATTTAAATGGGAATTGGAATTTCCTCAGGAAAAGATTATTGGTGACATGATGCCAACCCCAGAAAAGGGTCTTCCTGTTCGCCTTCAACCGATTCAGAAAGCCTGAATTTTTATTACTTGTCTATACCGGGTGTATATAGGTTACCACTAATCTCCCCAATGTTAGTGGTAATTCAAATACACCTTATAAAGAAATATGATAAGGGCTTTCTTGTTCTAGTCAAGATTTTCATTAGTAGAGTGACACAAACAACATTGTCTGCCATAAACTTTCTTGAATTTACTGTGTATAATAATTGAAAGTTTGGTTCATATTGTGCTTAGTGCTTACTGACTTAATTTCATATTAATTTTGAATGGAAGTAATAATAATTTGTTTTAGGCTCCCAAGAGTCCTTTTCAGACCTCATATGTTTCTACTGCTAGGTCAAAAATTGATTACAAATATAGTGGGTTGGTGATGCATACTTTCAATTCAACTGAAAATATTTTGAATTTTATTTAATATTATATCAGACATATGTACAGTTATTGGCGCAAATTACATCAATTTACCCCTATATTTTGAAAAAAAAAAAAATTATGATACCCTAAATTATAAAATTAATCGACCATGAACTTTATTTTTTGTAATAATTTCACTTTCTTATACTAAAAACGGTACATTTAAGATTTTTTTTACGTTTAAATGCAAAATATTAATTTGATATGTGATTAATATAACTTTTGAAATAATAATTTTACATTTTTAATTTTTTTTTTTTTTTACTTTTATATGCAAAATATTAACTTGATATGTGATTAATATAACTTTAGAACAATAATTTTACATTTTTCAATAAGTGTTTATTCGATCTCATGTTCCAAATGGAGATGTTCAATTGGTCAAATGAGTACAATTTAAATTGAAGCGTTCAAAGGTTCAAAATAAAAAATGAGGATGCTATAAATTTTTTTATGAAAAATACAAGATTAAATTTATATATTCAGCCCTAATATGAACATTATGAGATGTCCTGCTGATATTTTCTTCTCAGCTCCTCCTACTATAATGCGAGCTCAAAGAAGGAAGAGATAAGAGGATCCCATGAACATGTGATCAAAAATCCATAATAGAGTCCGATTACAACAACTGAATTGATTATCTTCATGCATAAGGCTAGTCGATCATCTAGTATAAAATTTCAAAATCACCACAGACCTCCCTTTGTTTTTCTTTTCTGTTGCAATTTCTGAATTATTATATGATGACTTTGAAGGAACCTTTCTGATATTATAATTGGGATGAAATTGCTTCAACAGTAGGGAGGCTACAACCTAGTTTGGACCGGAACCAAATCAGAAAAAGGAATTAAATCAGAAAAATTTCAAACCGAAATCAGCTCAAGAATCTCAATTTGAAATTGAACCAAGATCCACCAGACGGATTCAGCTTTTGGCCTCTCCCTAAAAGATTTTCAGACCAAAACCAACGATTGTACCAGTGGCTTAGATTCAAATCCAATCCCAAACAAATAAAAAAAAGAAAAGAAAAGAAAGAAAAAGAAAAAGACCAAACCAGAACCAAGACCAAACTTCATGTCCAGTCTCAATTCCACTTTCCTCGAGTCCTGAACCACTAGTTCAATGAACCAGCAAACCCGCTTGATTTGTACTAAATTAGATTGAATTTAAGAGTTTGCTAAGATTTATAATAGCAATATTTATCCTAGAAGTTGGGGATTTTGACCAAAACCCCTTGTAAGAGCTAAAAAATGAGAAGTTGGGAACTAACCTTCTAATAATATGCATCTTTTGCTCGGGAACAACCCTTTCGTACCAAGGATTCTAACATTGAAATTGAAGAACAAAATAGATCAAGATTACCCTAATTTGAGAGGATTTCAACACATGATCCTGAATTCGAGAAGGCAGGTAAAAATTCCCCCTAATAGTTAGCGATTTAAGTGAAGTCATAAACAAGATAAAACCACTAAAAAAAAAACCCCAGAAATACCACTTCCAACATAGCCTAAACACTAATATGAGCAGAAGCTTCAATGCAGATAAGCCAATACAAAATTCTAAATATTTTCTTGCAGATAAGTTCAATTAAAATGCTGCACTACAAGAATTTGTGTCTAGTGATCATATGTGCTAATGTAATTTTTGGTAAGACATGCTTAGCAACATAACTTTTAGTATCATTACAGCATTAAAAAATCCTATAGCTACAATAGCAGAGGGATACACATTAGTTCAAAACACTAGAGAACTCGAAATTAGATGGCAAAATGCAAATAAAGACATCACCGCTTGAGACAATTCGTTCTACAAACGCCATCCAATAACTTTCTTCACAAAACTGCAATCAGCCTGGAACTGAAATAAAATGTGATCATGGTTAATTTCTAATTAGTGAAGAATTTACTTTTGAACATAAAGAAAAACAATGCAACTGAAGCAATTTTACAATTGAAACATGCAATACCAATTAACGAAGTGCAATTACTACATATGGATCCATGATAAACATCCCAAATGTGCTAGTCAAAAGGAAGTCCTTAGCCAAAAAGAAAGCCATATGAAGTAATTAATGCAGGCAAAATATGCAAGAGGAAATATTAAACTGCACACTTATAGTAGCTTTCTCAAGGAGCAAAACAAGAGGCATATGAAGTTGTAGTGCTTACAGGAAAATATACAAAAGAAAATACTAAAAGTGCAATTATAATCGCTTTCCCAAGAAGTTTCAGCATGCTAATACTGATCTACATGAGCAGATAAACTCAAACTCAGTGCAATTCCATCCCCAATATAGCCTACTATGGACGGGTCAAGCCTATGCAGACCGAATGACAGTTAAACCCAACATCTAATATAGCAAATTTAAAATGTTCAATACAAAATAACTACACTGGTAAATTTTTGTCTAACCCTATTTTCCTACCAGCACAATTCACTGATAAATTATAAAATACACCTCCAAACAGCTAAAACATACAATATTGGCTCAACCATTGCAATCAGTCAGCCGAACTAATGATCTGAAAACTTGACAAATTAATTGGGAGTAAAGAGCAGAACAACTGAGATATATTTAGAGGCAACCCTCAATGTCTGTCTAACTGAAATGATAATTGGGATTATCAGGTAACATATTGTCCCACAAGTCCAAGTCCTATCTAGTGTCTGCAAATGCAAAAATAGTTTAGGAGATGCTTGAATGTAGCACCTAACAGCATGAGCTAGTAACTGGGTCAGATATCTATGATGACCTAGCACATTAGCAGGCTTGGATTGGTAACCTTAGATTGGTTGCAATTTCATCCCTAACCAATCTTACTGTTTAATCAGGTCCACGCCAGATTGAATTTTGACAGGGTGAAATTTTAGTTCTTACACAATTATTTTGGACTCAGGTTAGCCCAGTCTTCTTGCCACAACTCTTGCAATATTAGAAGTCCCTTTCTAGTAATCCAAAAAAGATCATATAATACTAGAGCATTAAATCATCAAGCATATAACCATGCCAGCAGAAGTATAATATTCTATAGGTCCAGCCTGGCTATTAATACAATAAATCCAGTGGCGCAGCATTTTACCATCAGCTGTGTGAGCAATTAGACTGTTTACAGAGAACCCCTTATTATAACCCTGGTGACCTCAAATTTTTCATTATCTGTGACCCAAGAAGTGACATAACACTCATTTTCCAAGCTGGTTCACAAATACTGCTTCAGTTCTCATTTATAACAAATGCTCCAGTGAAATGGCATGTACGTCTAAGAAAGTCCAAGCACTAAAATAGGAGTTCATTTACCTTGACCTGTGTAACAAGAAGAAGATTGTTGCTGAGGGAATGGTGGAATGGTAGTCAAGAGAGACTCCATATGTGACAAACTCTTTGGTGATTAGAGAAAACCCAAATTTTAGCTTTAATTTTTTCATGATTTGCTTCCTCTATTGGCACTTTTTGTAAGTTCATCTGCTTTCACTGTGGAGGAGGATAGTCAGATTTAATCCCTAGCATAGGTTTAGTTTTCACCATGGCATAGAAAAGTATGACACATGGAGATATGAAGAAGAACACTAAAAGCTAGAAGATTATTGACTATTCCCTTGTTTTCCTTCTTATTTTGTCTCACATGGGTTAATATAGGACTTTCAAAGCACAAGAAAATGAAAGAATCACCTGCTCTTCAATTTCTCTTTCTTAACTTAGTAGATACTAGATAGTACTTATTATTTTGGAACTTCACATTATTAAGTGTGTTTCTCATGATTGAACAAGGTTAAATGGCAGGAAAGGTCAGCATTTGTTGTTGGTTAAACCTCTTATACATATCATGGATAGATATATTACTACATTAAACAATCCAAATTCACTAAACAAAATTGCTTATTTACTAGATAAGATTTGTCATAGACACTAAGAACTAGGAGCACAGTCATTAATCTATACAAGTACATGCAATGCAGTCCTTAATTGTTCCTTTAAAATGAATTCCTCCCTCCTCAAAGGATGCATTGTCCCTTCATGAGAGCCAAAATATTATCTTATTGTCCACTATTTTGGAAATCGATTCCATGCCATCACTTAGAAGATATTTTACCTCATGCAGCTGTTTTACTCATTCATTACAACACAATAGCATAAGTATTAATCTTCACTACTTAAATCAACTCCATTCTATACTTGGAGCATTTTTCCCTCTATATAAGTATTTCCTAATACTCAAGACAATGCAATCAAGAAGACAGAAGAATATCCTTTCAAACTAAAGCTGACGAATATAAGCTGCAAGACTACAACTCAACTAAGCCTTAATCCATATTTTGGGGTCTATATGTGTTCATTTCATCCATGCCAACCAATTTGGGGCAAAATCTTTAGTGAGATCTCGAGCCATTAAGTCCTTTCTCACGATTTCTCCCCAAGGTCATCCCAAGTGTACCTCTCATTTTTTTATTCCCAACAACATTAGTGTACTGAACCTCAAATAGCACTGCATATGCTGGTCCATAATGCATGTTGCTTTAACAAGCAACAAGGCAACAGCAAGGCAGGATTCAAGAGGATGGTTATGCACTTAAACAAATGAGAAAATAAAAATTCTGAAACAAGATCCACTTCCAAATGGATAATCGGATGCCAAAAAAAGACGTCCAATTAGCTTCTAATTCAAACTAGAAAAGCCAAAAAGGTAAACCACATCCTAAATCTCTTGGAAAAGAAAAGAGGCAGATACATAATTCAACCTTGGAAACTGGGTAATTTGCTACATATCTTACCAATAAAATTAACATGGAACTCAAGTGGAACTTAACTAATAGTTGACCTAGACAACAAGAATAACAGACAAATGAAGTATCACGTCTCAAACAAGGGAAAAAAGGACCTTTAGTTGAAAAACATTTTGTCATAAAGTAAGACATCCAACACTAAATTATGTCATAGACAAAAAAATAAAAAATAAAATAAAATAAAATTAACATGATAAGGCACTTCAGTCTCATTGAAATTAGCAAAGGAAAGTCCTGCTAAAACCCCATTAGGTGCAGCTCTTAAGCCGTGAGACAATCTTGCCACTGCATGAATACCCTCTATCTCGAGACAATTTCTAGATTGCACCATTAGTTTCACTATGACAGAAGATAATTGCCTTTGTATACATGGAAGGCTGTTTTCTGCACATATTAAGAAAATATAGCATACAGCACCAACTTGTGCTCTTTCATTTAGAGATGAAGAGCGTTAAACAGTTTAACGAGTTATCCACCTAATGTGCTCCACCAGCTAAAAATGTCAACTTAGAAAGAATAAAACTTGCCGTGTTTAAGATGACAGCACACATAATATGAATCCACATTAGGTGATTAGAGATGAAACCAGATTCACTGTAAAAAATGATTAAGAAAGGACACTATGCATGTATAAAGTATTCGAACAATGTCAGATATTTATATGAACTGATTACTACATCTAGATATTCTGGAAAAATGCATTGGTCCACACTCCATAAATTCAACATAGCTGAACATCTATTTTGGTAATTAGCATGAAACGAGGATCTAATATAAGGAAACCTAAACTGTAATTCCAGTGGGGCGCCATACGAACTGAGAGATAAGTTATATATAAAAGAACAGGAAAATCGAGATAAAGGAAAAATCAAGTTCAGGGAATTTGCTTAAAACATTAATGCCACACTCTAACATCGAAATAAGGCAAACCTATTCATTGCTGTTGCTGATTCTGCTGCTGCTGTTGAGGATTGGGAGGAGGTGGCATACCGCCCGGACGAGGCGGTCCATAAACAGGGACACCACCAGGTGGAGGAGGCATTACAGGACGAGGGGGCTGGTTTTGCATTCCAGGTCTTGGCGGAGCCGGAGGTCCTCTCATCATGGGCGCTTGCGGCTGTGGTGGCATTCCCATTGGTCTCTGTCCAAACTGCGGTGGTGGCATGGGGTACCCCTGTTGTGGTGGTCGAGCTGCAAACTGAGGTGGAACATTTGGAGGTGGACCCCGACCCATTGGTGGAGCCTGCCCAGGATAAGGCGGAGGAGGCATCTGACCAGGAGGCCTTATAACAGGCGGGGCGCTACCAGGCGGACCCTGTGCTGGATAAGTCATAGGCGGAGCAGAAAGTTGTGGATGCGGAGGACGAGAGAGCTGCGGCTGCATCATACCAGGTGCAGGTCCACCAACACCACGAACCGGACCAGCAAGACCAGGCTGAGCCTGAACAAGAGGAGCAGTAGGTATTCCACGACCAGCTGCACGACCAATTCCAGGACCAGCAATAGCAGTAGCAGAGACAGCCTTGGCGCGTGACTCTTCAGGAGGAGGAGGACCTTCAACAGTCATGGAAATGACCTCTTCACCCCGGAGAAGAACAAGGCCAAGGGTACGGCGGTCCTCTCGCTCCTCGTTGTTCTTCTTGCCCTTAGCAGGTGGGAGCTTGCGAAACTCCTCGCAATCACCAAGGACGAGATTCATATGGCGGTCGAAGGCCATGAACTTCCCGACCAGCTGCCGGCCGTCCTGAATGGTGACCCGCATCCGATAGTTGATGTATTGGAGCATCTTGGAGCTCTTGGACATCGACATTTTGCGAATCTAGGGTTTCTCTAACTGGGGTATATGGTTTCTTTTAAAAAATTTTGCTATACACTCTATATAAAGTATAGAGTGTAGAGCAGAGAAAAGAAAATGGTGGAATTGGGTTAGAGATGAAAGGGAGAAAGAAAGACTGTAAAAAGATTGGGGATTTGAGTTTAGGAGGGTTTTGTTAGGGCACACGCGTTGCGCAGAGACAGCCGTTTGATTTCCTATTAAATCTAATGCGTTTATTTGGGTTTTGAACTTTTGAGGAGAAAATTACTTGTATGTACAGACTCACTCGTGAATTAAACTAATTACAGTAAAAAATTTTCAAAAATATTTCTATTTTTTTTTTTTCCTTAATATATGATAAGAAATACTCATTTTAAAGAGAACTCTTACTCTCATTGATCTAGGTAAAATTTTCTCTTTTGAGAATTGAAATTACATCAATATCTTTAATCTACTGGCTAAATTATATTAATGGTTATTTAACCTTATGTTAATTTCATAAGGTGATATAATTTTAATATATCATCTTTAATACTAATGTGATAATAAAATAAAATATTTTTATTTTAAAAATTCATATTTTTCCTTATACATTAATTTAGAATATACCTATTAATTTATTTAACAAATAATGTAGAAAAAAAATGTTCCCTTTGTCGTTTATATTTTGTAGCATTTTTTATATTTATTTGTAATCATGATTTTATTTTTGTGATATATATAACTTTTAGTATCATATTACTGTTTTGATTATTGCATCAGTGAGTGATCTCCAGTCAAAATAAAAATTAAATTTCAGTGACTAAAAAATAACAAATTGAAGTTATGTGACCTAAATAAAACTAAGTATATAATTAGATGACTATTAACATAATTCACCCATATTTATGTGTGTGTGAAAATAGGGAAAATAATAGGATTTTTAATTTTTGACAATTTTATAAATATTCTAAAATATCATTATTTATGGCTAATTATGAAATTGTAATTGAAATATCCAATAAATCCTTAAAATATATTCATATATGATGTGGAGAATTTTATTATAAAATTAATTTTTTTAAATAGATATAAAATAATTAATGCTTTAAAAATTGTTAAGTATCAAATAGTTACTGTTATTGTATTATTGCATAGTGAGTGTCATTCCAGTAAAAAATAAAAATTAAATTCTTCGCAGTGACTATGTAAAAAATAACAAATTGTGAAGAGCGTTTGTGAACACGGGTAAAATAAAAAGCTAGTATGTAATTAGATGACTATTAACATAATTCACAGTTCGCCATATTTGTAATGATGATGTTGTGAAAGATATAGAGACGAAGAATATAGGATTTTAATAATTTTTGACAATTTGTTATAAATATTCTAAAATCATCATTATTTATAGCTAATGGATAATGAATAATTGTAATTGAAATATCTCAATAATCCTTAAAAATAATAATTGATAATATGATGGTGGAGAATTTTTATTATAAAATATAAATTTTTAAATATGATATAAATAAAAGTTAATGCTTTAAAAATTAATTGTAGAAGTTTCAAATTTATATATATATATTAATATATATTTATAGTAGGTAGTATAATACTATATATAGGTATATATGTAGTAGGTATACGTAACGATCCATTTCCATGGAACGACGGACGCGGCCTTTCTAATAGGATCTGGGTGGGTGGTTAAAGCCCCTGAGACGCCGTAAGTAAGCTCCTTAAAAGATATTATGTATGATGGAGATTTTGGACTTGTTACAGTATCCTCTTATTGGCAGAAGGCTTCGGTGGGTATTCGGGCCGCAGATAATTGGTGATTTCGATACGAAGTATAGTCAAAGTAGCAATCATAATAATGAGAATGTTTATGATGCTAATATTAATTCATGCTTAATCTAGTTGGACAGAGCAAGTTGCGGAACTGCTAGCTTTCCATGCTGTCACTATCCTTGAGTGCTTTACATGGAATTTCGAATACATCGATTATTTATTGACTACCTAATCGGGGATCGCGTATTTCCGTTCGTTCGATTGGACTCCAGGATTCTTCTTTTCGCATCTAATTAAGGGTGGGGAGGATTGGAGGGGGGGGTGGGTGAGTAACTAAACTTCAGTGAGGGTAGGATTGATGATACCTCTCAAACAACACAATCCATACAAATGCTAAAACGTATTTCTAAATGTGGTGCACCCCGTATTAGTTATAATGAGTATGGGCAGTTTGTCACACAAATGTCAATACTACAATACAGCATCACAAATTATTATGATCATAATAATCATATCACTGTGAAATTAGTGCAGGTGGAGGTCAGAACCGAAACCCATTTTGAGAACGCTCCTCCAGGATGCCAAGATTTTACGATAATAGTGGCGACTGATGTTAGATGATATTGGGTTCATACTGAGGGATTTCCCCTGGCGTTCTCCCATCCCCTAATTGAGATATCCTCTGTCTTGGGCTCATCCACTCAAATGTAGGAGCCCGGGGTCCAATGCCTCATGTCTGGCTGACGCGGTATAGTTAAGATACTCACACTGCCGTCTACTGACTTAATTTTTTGCCTAGAGCTCGGTAGCTACATCTTATATTTTTTTTATACAGACAAACAGGACGGGCTCCTGGTCCGTCTCCCTCAAATCTAGATCAATCAGAGGCGCCACCACATACAAGGGACCCCACCCACTGGGAACTGCGTCAAGATTCTAAAATTATCTCGGTTGCGCCCAATTAAAGGAAGCCCAACCTGTGATTTCAGTTATTATCCTCTTTTTTTTATATGTATAAGCAATATGGGAGGCAAACCACGGTCGTCTCACATCTAGATTTCAGTATGTGTGCTCACAACAGGAGGGCCACCCGGTGGTGTGCGATCAAAATCTACGATTATCAGGTGCGGCGCAAGAGAGATCAAAGCCCGATGGTGTTTCATACTCATAACTAGATCAAGAAAGTAGGTGCACCCAGGGGCGTGATCACTATATATACGGGCTAACGGTAATATATTAGGATCCATATAAGATAAGGTGCTCAATTAAGCCCCCGTGAGAGCTGACTTCAATCGCTAATATCCACAACAACAAGGCACGACAATATACATAGGACAGAGTAAGTTAAACAACCCTTTTTATAATCAGGAATAGATGCACACAATATGGCAATTCAGACAAAATAATGCATGGATACATTTAGCCGTGAATGCATGACTGCCAGCGGAATGAGAGGTAGCTAGTTTTTTATCTAACACTACTCACAGTTCTTTTATTGTCCTTTAAAGGAACTATCATTAGTACAGTGCCACTAGCGTTCGACTTTAAGCTTTTGGTCGTCAACATCGGAGCTCTCGGCATCTAGAAAGAAAATGCTGTATAATAAAAATCACTACATCTCATAAATTAAGCTTTGCAATTACATTGTTACTTTTTTGAGGCTCTATAGCTATTTATCTAATTTATTCGAACTTAAATATATTTATCGTTCATATATTATTCTAATTTAATAAACTTATATTAAGGCTTCTAATATTCTAATTTATAACTTATATTATATATATATACATAATAATACCACGATAATTTCTATATAAAAATAAAGTTTTAGTTTTATTACCTAGTTTGTGACTAGTTATAAATTCTTCATTAATTGTGTTTTATTGAAAATTCTAGGCTTATCTAACACTACTCACAGTTCTTTATTGTCCTTTAAAGGACTATCATTAGTACAGCAACCTTCTAGCTTTTGTCTCACCATCCCGGAGCTCATACGCATCTAGAAAGAAAATCCTGTATAAAAATCCTAATCTCATAAATATACTTTGCATTCATTGTTACTTTTTGAGGCTCTATAGCTATTTATCTTAATTTATCGAACTTAAATATATTTATCGTTCATTTATTCTAATTTATAACTTATATTAAAGCATTCTAATTATTCTAATTTATAACTTATATTTTTATACTAATAATAAATACCACGATAATAATACTAATAAAAGTTTTAGTTTTTATTACCTATTAAAGATATAACTAGTTTAATTCTTCATTAAGTGTTTTATTGAAAATTTGGCAGCATTTCCTCAATAAAACGGACTATCCAAGTTTTACATAATCCACATGTCATCACGCAGCCCATCTATCGGGCAATTCACATTAACTGATCCGTCCGCCATAACCATCATTCATCCGTTCATTCAATTCACATCGTCCATTACAATTAATTGTTCTATAACTATTTATTTGTTAATAAAATTCCTAAAATTTATTATTAGCTAGGAATTTATAATATGTAATTTAATTTATTTAAATACTTAATTAAATTCATTAATTAATTAATTTAGGATTTATTCAAAAAGTTCGAATTAAGCTTTAGAGTGTACCGATTGAAAATCATATTTTATTTCCGTGATCCGCGCGAAGAGGAGAGCATTCTGCCTCTTGAAGTCTCGCTGGAGTCCCGCCGGCCGGTCGCTGCCGTGAACGGTGGCCGGAAAATCGGCCTTGCCCAGAAATTTATCACGATGATACCATTCGACTCGATTTTTCGTCAAGAATCCGATTTAAGCGTCAATTGAGCGAGATCAGTCCCCTAACTGGCCGGATAGGACCCGACAGTGGCTTCGCCATCGCCGTTCATGGCGTTTTCGTCAGCCAAGCTTTGTCGCCGAAACTGATGGGAGGAAGAGGCTCTTTGGGAAGAGAGGAGTCGATCGAAGCATGTCCCTCGCCTTGGAGCTGCCGGAAATAGCGTGGATCGCCGGAGTTTGGAAGAAGAGACTGTCGCGAGGAAGACAGCTCCATCCGCACCGTTGCAGGTCCGATTTGCGTGAAGGGAGGCTGGAATCATGACCACAGGCGCCAGACGAACCGATCGCCACCTTGCTCTCGTCGAGTGGTGGCCGAAAACGAGAAGGAGAGGGAGGAGGAGGAGGAAGTCGCGCGATCCAGGGGAAGGAGAAGAAGAGAAAAGAGAGAAAAAAGAGAGAAGGCGTTTCTAGAGGGTTCTGGGCCATTCCGGTTCGATTCGAATCGGTTTGGTTCAACTCAACGAGCTCGATTTTTGTTTGATCATCTGGTTTTTCTCTTAGTTTCAGGAAACTTAGGAAACTTTAAGCCGGTTTTAACGTTCTATTTATCATAATTAAATATTTTACTGATAAGACACCATTTTTATTTCGTGGTGTGTAATGTGGCTTATTTATTTCGATTTAAATCAAAT